CAGAAAGGTGCAAGAGTACTCCTGTGGCCAGGGGAAGAAGATTTTTTAGATCCATTTAAGTAGTGGTGCACATTGACCTAAACCCCTCTATATCCTTGTGGAGGAAACTGTTGGAGAAATAGGAGGAACATTATTAAATGATATACTTTCATCTTAAAAACCAAATTGCTCTTGTTTCTCATTTGTTTTATTACAGGACCAAATATTTACATAAAGCTCAAATATATCAGAAACAGGCTTTATTTTTTGTCTATAAATAATCTTATCCAGATCCCCTAATGCTGGGGGTGAGGAAATCAGTGGAAGAATGGAAGGGAGAAGAAGATATGCAGGTCAGAGTCCCAGTAGAAGACATTGGCACACTTAAAGAAGAGTTTAATAAGGATTTGATTTTTTTTTCAAGACGTAGAAGGAATAGTACAACAAGAAATAGTGCAATGCCATTGGGCAAACAATTGGGGCCCAAGTTGACAGCAGTTTCCAGAACCGCCCCCCAAAAAAGAGAGACAGAGAACTACTGAAGAAAGGCTAGCTACAAGGACCCTTGGTTTTTCAGAGAAATGTACAGCTAACCTGAATGGCAACCCAGCAGGAGGGCTCCGCGGAATCAATACCCTGACCTTATTCTCCTCCCACTCTTCAATTTCCTAACTTCTCCCATTGACCAAATACAAAAAAAAGCCAGAGAGAAAGAGCAAGCCTGTATATAAGGCAATCTATATTCCAGTCTCTGGGCACAAAGTCGACTGGGGAGGAGAGAGTATGAAAGTGGAGGGCCAGATGCGAACAATCCATTTCTTTGGTMGTCAGCACTCAGTCTTATCTTTTTCCAGGTGAAAATTAAATGTATGTCCCCAACACAGGAAACACATAGGATTTTATCAGCCAAAATGTCATTGTAAAATGATATGAAAATAATCATTCTTACCTGAAAACTAAAATATTAGGCACCACAAATATTCTTCATATAAGGAGTGGGGAAGAGAAGAAAGGACAATTAATTAATAGAAAGTATATGTACTACAGTTTCCACTTTTATAACTGTTCATAAGACCTGGCACAAACTCCTTCCTCCTCCACCCTTTACCTAGCACCGCAGTTGGACGGGGCTCTTCACATGGCTACGTCATTTAATCCTCATTCTTGTAGAAATGGAGTGCTTGATGATTCTTTCTGCCTCTGGAGCAAATGCAATTCTCCATTAACAAGACTGTTGGGCAAGACGTTATTATAAGACAATGCAGTGAGTCCCCACGGTCCACCTAGCCCTCATGGTACAACAGCAATACAATTTCCCCTTGGTGAGCAGGACCAGTCATTTCAACCTTCTCCATCTTGTTTTTCCAGTGATGAACATTCTTTGAAAATAAATTTTTAAAGATAAATTCACAGTGGCTCTGGTGGCCTCAAGAACTAATTAGACCTTAGCCTTCAGTCCTTGGTAACTTCATTCTCATTTAAGTGTACTCACTACAGTACTAAAATCTTAACCACCTTTCAGAACAAAATCACCTGTCTTTACTTCAACTTCCATATAAAGCACTGTCTGCTAATAAGTAACAGGGTAGAAGTGAAGAACCAGAAGGAAAACTAATTTCCTGATAGTGAATATGATCCACAAATAACTCTGATTTATCAGGCAGTCTCTGCCAAGTATTGGAGTAATGATCACACATCGGTATTGTTTGGCCCCAATTCCCATCTATTCCAATATAATCCATACCTGTTTCCAGGGCTCTTACCCTGGTCTGGCTTCTGTTCTTTGGTTCTTTTCCCTCCTAGATTCACCCTCCATCAGCAGCCAGAGTGATCTTGATAGAACAGGAGTCAGATCAGGATTTTCCCCATGGTGAAATCCCTTCAGTGGYATCAGCCTTAGAACAAAATCTAAAKCCTTGCCCTCGCCCACAAAGCCCTACATACCTGGTCTCCAGCAACTCTCTGGTCACATCTTTAGCTTTGTCCCCAGCCATCCAGCTCCAGTCTCAACTTTCTTGCTATTTCCTGGACACCCCAGACTTGCCCCATCYCAATGCCTACGTCTTGCTATGTTCCCAGTCACCTGGCTCGTTCCTGCATTCAGGCATCTGTCCCTCCAAGAGACCCTCCCTGGTCTCCCTGTCTAAAGTAATCTTCAGGGTCTATCCTCATGCCCTTGTGTTTTCTCCTAGCACTCTTCAGGGCATGTATTATATTACATGTCTTCTGTTGTATTTGCATTTGAATACAATTTCCATGAGGACAGGGGCTTTGTCCATCTGGTATTCATCACCATATCCCATAGCACAAAGTTAGCATTCAATAAGGACCACAATGAAAATTAAGTGGATGGCCAAAGTGGATAAATAACTGTGTTTATATTGTAGTAAATAAACTACAGAAAAATGAAGTGGGATGATGAGGAAGTGAAGGGGGTGAGGAGGGAATTTTTGATAAGGTTGTCAGGATAAGTCTTTCTGATGCAGTAGCACTTGCAGAACCCTGAAAGAAGGGAGGGAATGATTGTGAAATACTCGAGGGAAGGTTGTTTGGGCATAGAACCAGCAGGTGTGTGTGTGAAACTCCTGGGCAGGAGSGAGACTGATGTGTGGCAGGACCAGGAAGGAGGCTGTGTGATTGGAGCATTGGAGGCAGGGGTAAGGATGGTAGGCCTTGAGGTTGGGGAGGAGGTGGGGACATGATGAGTGCACTGGATTTAATTCTTGGCATGATGGTAAGCTATTTGGGGAAGCCRGGAAGTGCCCAGTCTAAATTTTTGTGTGTGTGTGTGTTTTTAAAGTTTACTTGTGTTATTGGATTGAAAAATAAACAGTAGGAGGATATTTAGAAGCTATTAGGAAATAATGCAGCAGAGAGATAATAGTGACTTAGGGAGGATTTAGCCATTGAGAGAATGAGAAAATTCAGCCTTTATTTTGGAGTGACAGCAGAGGGAATTTCTAACACATACAATGTGGCAAGGCTGGAAGGAGAAGCCAAGGTTGACTCTAGCATAGAAAGGTTCTTCAAGTCTTGTAGGAAAAAAACCTTCCAATTTTAGGAATATGCTTTCAATCCTGGCTCAATTTCTAGAAGATTGGCTTGGAAAAAAATACAATATCAAATTTTCCTCAAAACATTGTTGCACTAGGCCTCATTCGCAAGAGGAGAGGAAAAAGTTCTAAATATCAGTTTATCCCAGAAATAATGATAATTTTATCAACCCCAAAGGTATTCCACATTGTTATCTATCTCTCAACATTTGGAGCCCAAACCCAGAAGCATTAACTCCATTTTATCCACAAGTCAGCTTGCTGTTCAGCTGCATGCTTACTTCTCACCACCAGGTTTGACCTAATCTGCAGAAACTTGGCAAGCCACTMATGAATGATATATAGAATAATTTCACAAATTCTGATTTTTTTTTTTTTTTTGGAGAAAAAAGCTCTTTAGACAGCTGTCCACTGACCTCTTCTGACTACTGACCTTAACCTTCTATGAAAAGACCTATTAACAAGGAATGGCTCTTCAATGACGGTGCCATTTCTCCATTCTTCTAGATAGATCTAGTCCAACCTTTATCTTTGCCTTTGCTCTGTACCATTGTGCAGATTTTGAAGATGTACGGCTTTCCCTCTGTGTGTGTTTTATTTTGCTTATCTTCCTCTAGGAGAATTCTCTAGCAGTACTAAACTTCACTAGTAAGAAAGGCTCCCCAACATAGTCCCCATTTTCTTATTGCCTGTTTACAGGAAGACTGAAGAATGCCCTCCATAATGGGCTTGACCTAGAAATAAACCAGGTCCTCCACCACAAGAGAGGCTGCATGTATTTCTCCCCAGCCACATCACTCCTTTATTCTATCCACAAACTGCTAATGACACAGATGAGTTCTTTTTCCGTGTCTTACCTTTTACTTTCAGAATGACATGCTGAATCAACAAAATAAATCTTCATAGGCCTTAAAATCAGATAAACCTGCCTCAATAAAGGTCAACTATTATAGTTGTAATGTATTTCTTAACATGTCCCTCATTCAGTTTTCTCATGTGTAAAATGGGGAGACATAACAGCCAGTTTTTATCACTATAACAAATACCTGAGATAATTAACTCATAAACAGAAAAGGCTCACAGTTTGGGAGGTGTCAGTCCATGTGCTCTGTCAATTGGCCCTCTTGCATTTGGGCCTGTGGCAAGGCAACATTATAGTGGGGAGCACATGGCCCCACTCTCCCTATCAAGGGCACACACCCAGTGAAGATCTTTCATTGGGCCCTACCTTGTAAAGATTCTACCACCTCCCAATAGCACTCTCCTGGTACTAAGTCTTTAATACAATGGTCTTTCAGAGACACTCCAGATCCAAATTTTAGCAGTATAATATTGATCATTATTTGAGTCAAGGATAAAGTCATGAGAATAATCAGATGATGGAGATCACGATGATATTGGTGGTATTAAAAGAGAAAAATCACAAAGCCACAATACTTACAATACCCATGTGTTTATTGAAGTCAAACATATTATAGCTCCATAATTACTGTCATAAATATGAATATTAGCCTTATATACTCAGTAACATTTCAAATAAAGTTTCTATAAATAAATCCATATTAATAAAATGGCATAAATAAAATGCATTCTTATAATAATAAATAAATTTATAAATATAAAGTATTGATTATGGAAATGCAATTATTTAGAATTTTTTCTAAAGGAAAGAGAAGAAATCTTTTTTTGGAAATAGACAATTAATTAAAAAATTGTTTTCTCTTGTATAAAACATCAGTTATAACAAAATGTTATCAAATAAATCTGTATGCGTGCAAGGTATACCTCTGGTCTTCTGACAAAAAAAAAAAATGATTGATATTTCTTTTGAGCTAAGCAGGGTTTCATGTGGAATTCACCAACAATGGTAGAATTTGGCTTCCCATTTTCCTTTTAGTAAAAAAGTTCCTTTAGAAATCTTATTGTTATTTTTAGCAGGCAAGCTATTCATTTTCCAATTTTACTCCATCAGACGCAGGCATTTTTCAAATAGAAAAATAGCAAATTCAGTTCTCCAATTACTTTGATCACTCCGCTCTCTCCAAGCTGTGAAAATAAGAACACAAATGTATTTAAGCATTTTTGCCATGTTTCCTAAAGAGGAACAAGTTAAAGGCATATGGAGTGATTAGATTGCTAGAAACAGAAACCAGGATTTAGCCTTTTGAAAACAATAATATTAACCTTTTAGCCTAAGTATAATATGATTTGCCAAAGACCTTAAAATGATGGCTATCTGAACTGAGAAGGCACCAATAGGTATCCATCTCATTCATGTCCCCCTAATGAAACTATTGATGGATATGGTAATTAGTTTGATTGAATCTTTTACAATATACAGATAGATCAAAATATCCCATTGTAACTCATAAGTTACACAACAATTATTTGTCAATTAAAAATAAATAAATTAAAATGCTAATGAGAGTCAGGGAATGCTGGGCAGAGGGCTGTATGGCTCCTAACCAGACTAAGCACATTGAAGCCACAGTGGGATCTAGGAACCCGAGTTCTGTCCATCATGGCTTGACCTGCCTGCCACATGGCCTCCAACTGTCTGTGAGCAATCAGTTACAACTCAGCTCAAACAGCCTCGAATCAAAACCACATGTGTACCAACAAGCACTTGGGCTTTCTGTTCCCTCTTCTTGACAAAAGGGGTCATAATTCAGCAGTAGATCCCTTGCCTCGCACTGAGTTCGATCCTCAACACTACATAAAAATAAATAATATAAATAAAGTAAAGATATTGTGTCCATCTTTAAAAAAAATCATTTTAAAAAAAAAAGGGGRAAAACAGATTTTCATTTACGTGGGGAAAATATCAATTATATTATTTCCAATTGCCTTAATAAATAAAAAGCCAGATATATAGATGTTAACATCATTTCAGGTAGAAGACAGATGACGCTTTCAAACTCAATGGGAAAGAAAACCCAAGTTCAAGTCCAAAGCCTCCTCCTCTGAAATTTAAATTTGTTCCAGATTATTTGAAGAAAAATCCTGTCATCATGGTCTTCTATACTTTGTTCTCCTTTATCTTCCTGATTTCTTTCCCCCTACTAGTTTTCCATATTTTGTTTGACATAATGCTTTTTTATATCTCAAAGACTCCCAACCAAGACCATTAAGAATTTCATGGCTTATCTTGACCTGCTGTCTGCCCTTTGTGCTACCACAGCCTGCTCTCTGCTTTCCCCTCCACTCACGACTGCCCTCCCATTTCAGATAGCTCTGATCAGTTTTTCCTCCTATTGAACTCTCTCTGAATAACATTTTCTCTCTTGCCAGTGTGCTTTCTGAAGCTACAGGGAGAAAAAAAAGCATCATCACTTTTCCACATGGCAACCCATTGTAAAAATGAAAGTTGGTTCTCCCCACATGGATTAAAGGATTTCAAAAAATCCTTTGTTTTCTTATACAGGTCTCACCTCCCATGTGATTTCTCTCTCWCACACACACACCTCACTTTTCTAAAGACCACAAAGCAATCTGACATCAGGGGTTTTAAAAACGAGAATCACAAAGCACATGTTCTCTGTGGCATRCTAACATTCAGTCTAGGTAACAGCTCTATAACAAGAGATTCCAGCTTCACAGTGAAAAACTACAAAGCTTGCAGTAATCCAAGGAGTGCAAACAGTCATGCTTGATAAATTATGCTTAGGAAGAAATTTCTTCTAAAAAATAATTATGATAGAAAAGGGGGGAATTGAGGCTAAGTGAGTTATTGAAAATTTCATCAACTAGAGCCTTCCTGTGTCTGAGTATTCAGGTGCACCTGCTTGCAAAAAGCATTYACTTTCACTGCCACCAATCATTCCTCTGGTTTGGGGCTGGGTCATATTTGCTGGTCTGAGCCTTCCACTATTGTTCCTTAAATAGGCCACATAATTATTTACCATAGAAATATACACTAACTCACAGTAGATAGATACTTAATAGGGGTTTGTTAAGGAAATGAACACTTCCATTTCATTATAATAGATCCATGACTAATATTCTCACTCTATTTGAAAACCATCAACAGTGATTGGACACAGTATTATGATAATTAAACATAATTATCAATGATCCCTGAACTCCATCCTAGAAGTAATTTTGTTATTGTTCTAGGTTGATTTTTTTTCCCAAGTGTCACAGCATCAAATCAATGGCTTACAAAAAKCACTTCAAATAAATTTTGACACTTTTCTGGGTTACAGAAAACAATCCTTCAGATTGTGAGTCAATAGGACTCTAACAGAATAATACTAAAACTAATACCTATGGCTGCTGAATAGGTGCTGACCTGAGAGCAGAAGAAGGATACCTGCATTCCAACTTGGTTCTGCCACTGGCCATAAGACTATCTGACCTAAGTTCCCTGATTGGTTTCATAATTTGCTTCCCTGATAAGCTTCATGATKTGAAAAATTTGGAAATTGATTTATAGATGCAGACATGTATCTATATACTCATGCACCTAAGTTATCAACTCAATCATAGGAATATCGAGCAAAATATCACAAGGAGGGAAAGAAGAAAAACAACATTTATCTCTCCTATTAAATGACTTAGTATGAACATTTATCAATAATACCTTTTCCACTGTGTCCTTCAGGTTTTGCACATTCTTCTGGATATGCCGGTCGTCACCCTTGATATGCTACAAAATGAAACCAAGAGTAAATATTTTATCTTTGTTTTGCGGAAGCTTTACGAACCTCAACGCCCTTCCAAGCCATGTGACAATTAATTCACCTGGAATGGAAGCTCTGGGTAATCTTACCCACAATGACCTAGATTTCACCAGCGACCTAGATTTTATGAGCTCTTGAATTGTCTTGGACACCAAAATCCAGACACTTCCCTTACAGAGGACCTGTTTTTCATTGTCAGGAAATCCTTTGGGGGTTTAAGTTTGTGGAAAAAATGGAGTGGTTTATGCCAATTCTGACAGGAATCAAACTTTAACTGCACCTCATCAAAACTGTGTGCTCAGAACAACATGTGAAACATCTTATGTGAACAGTAGGAACTCCTCACTTAACAGCAGATACCTTTCGCTCTGCCCACTCCTCTCCAACATGTCTCAGAGTTTTAAATTTGCATCAAGTTCTCACAYTTCTGATTTTGTCATGATATGAAGAAGGGAACAGCCCTTGCTTACCCACCACCATTAAGGCTTCCCAGGAATATCGAGTAAAATATCACAAAATATCATCTCTTCCCACTTTCTCTCTTCCCATTCCCTCCATCTAGTAACTTGTACTCAGTGGATCTATTTCCACATATAGGTGTTTTTCTTCCACCTCCCAACATCTTTCTCACCACATATAATCTGAGTTGTTTTCTTTCCACAGAAAAACAAATGAGGTTTCTGTACACTTTACTACCAGATTCCAAGCACCACTATACACTAAAAATGGGACTCAATTAAAGCAAAAGCCAACCCTCTGCAATTCCAAATGATTCCTGATGACCATGGTGCCGAGGCAGTAAGCCCAGGGATCARGAAGGAGAGAGGGCTGGTGGGGAGCAGGCTCTCAGTGATAGAAGGAGGGAAGGAGGTGGCCAGGAGTAGGTGGAGGTAGGCTGAGGCAGGGACTTACACAGAGTCTGAGATCRTTGTTGAGACCTTCCAGGAAGGACACCACGTCATGAAGGTAGGGGAGGGGTCTGTCTGAGTTGGGGAGCAGCACTTCTTCCAGGGTGAAGTTCAGCACTTGCTTCATCACATAGCAGCGCTCTTTCATCTGCAGGTGGAAAAGACACAGTAGGGATCATGTGAGGAGGCAACCAGAAGACCCATCCACCAGCTAACCACCGATGGGCCCCAGACTCTGCTCATCATAACCATAACTTACACTGACTCCTTGGTAGAGTCTGTCATCAATGAGACGGACGTCTGTGTTGTTATCTGCAAAGCTGGCCTGGAAGAGAAGAAAGACTGAGTGTCGGGACATGGAAGATATACAAAAAAGGTCTGTAAGTGGAGATGTACACCTTGCCCTATCCCCAGAGCATATATAAAAACTGAAGATAGATGTATACATGAGYTTTGAATAATGCACAAAGGAGTAAAGAAAAAAATTAATAATCAGATGGGCTACAAAGCAACTCCTCCTTGGATAAAACTCAAAGTATGTATCCTAAGGCCAAAATGGAAGGAAGGAGTTCTGGTAAAAATTAAATCTTCAAATAGTCTCCAAAGAGACATACAAAGTTATCTGTAGGGATAAATGATAAATTCCTAAAGATCTCAGAAATGCTCAAATAAAATGTTCAGAACSATGTGGAATAATGACGTGGTCATATTGGGTGTATGCCTGAATATAWGTAACCATGAATCCCACCATTGTGCATAATCATAATGCTCCAATAAAAATATGAGGGGAAGAGAAATTAAAAGAAAGAAAGAAATAAATACTAAAAAAAGGGAAACTTTAAGAACCATTTGGATCCCAAGGAGATACGATGAGAAAGACAGCAAGGTTGAGATGAGTACCTCCTCAGCCAGTAGGAAGGTGCGGTTGATGATGAACGGCCCCTCGAAGCTGGCCTTGTGGAGCCCACAGTGGTCATTGATGGGCACCGCTGCTCCRCCCTGCACTGCCAAAGCAATGAGAAGGAGGCAGCTGGCAGCCAAGGTCCCCACAAGGGAAGAGCTCACAGATTTCTGCAGGGCAGCCATTGCTGATAACTTGAGTAGCGACTAGGAAAGGAGAACCTGGTGTGAGGCGAAGAGGAGGCAAAGACAGCAAGAGGGAAACAAATTAGTCCAGAARTATCACACCTAACAGACCAACTGTATCAGCTTGCTGAAACACTTACCTGTTTCGGAGATTCTGCTTATGATGGAACAGGTAGAAGCTATTGCTTTTATAGCCCCTGGACATCATTTTTTTTWAAATTGTGAAAAGTATGACATCAGCAATTATCTAATTTCCAGCTCTGTCTTCTGAGAACTACCTAACCACTATAGGAGCCCACAAAACGCTACCTCCTATCCTTCCCACCTTGAGATGTGAGTGTTTCCCTAAAACGTCACTATTGGGGCTTTTACAGATGAATCCTAGAAGTTTTCTAAACCCTATATGTCTTTCAAAGAAAAAAAAAAATGCTTTGTAGATTCCAGGTTTAGTATAATACTCTTTGATCTCCTATAGTAACTGAGTAAGCATTTTGGTTACAGACTCATTTTCCTACCAGCTTCATAGATTCTTATCTTTTTAGAAGTGACCAGAAATAAAGGACCCATATCCTATATCCGCTACATTCAAGTAAGCAATAATAACAACTTGGATATCATTCCAATTTTTAAAATAATTTCATATCATTTTTAGAAAATAAATGCTGAATTCTAAGCTAGACTTATGTCTTTCAAATAACAGTGTTAGCTAATCTAATMAGTGTTTTCTTTTTCACTCTCGTACTATTTTAAAGTGATTAAAACAATTATRATAGATGAAACTATAAAATATTTTACTCATGGCATATGACCAATATCAATTTAAGCTTGGAAAACTAATACTGAACAATCTAATCATTTTCTTTACATGTATTTTTAATAAAAAATATATATAGTAATTCATCTTAAAATTCTATCTATGCAAGTCTCAAAATCTATTTCCAAGTAATCTTAGAATAACTCTTACTGTATAGATAGATAACTGAAGAAGAGAAATCAAAGTGATTGTATATTGATTTTACATTATTAAAAATATGCTGAATCCTAAATAACACCTAAAAACTAGACTGGCAACTCTGCCAAGGAGTGGGAGCAGGGAGCAAGTACCACTATCAAAATGAAAGTTCTACTGCTAAGGGAAGGAATATGAATGAATTCATGAAAATTACTTGGATCCAATTGTTATTCTCACAACTAATTAAGATTAGGAGTATTAAAGAAATGGAAAGGGGGATTCAAAGTACTGTAAAATCTTGACCATTTTAGAGATGGCACACACCTAAGAGAGGTGACAAAGTGAAGGGCCAAAACAGCACKGGATTCTGAACACTTAGGAACGTGGCCTTAGGAGAAAGATAAAAAAGGGAAGATGAGATTAAGTAGAGCCACATGATCCCACCTTAAACATGGACTCTAAAAACCTCTAACCCGATGGTTGCCAGGGCCTGGGGGCAGAAGATTTGTATCCTATGTTAATCAAAGGATATAAAATTTCACTTAGAAGGAAGAGTATACTCAAAAGATCTATTGTACATCCTGGTGACTATAGTTAATAGCAATACATTGTATATTTTTAAATTGTTCAAAGTGTAGATTTTTATTTAGTTGTAGATGGACATAATACCTTTATTTAATTTATTTATTATTTGGTGCTGAGGATTGAACCCAGTGCCTCACACATACTAGGCAAGTGCTCTACCACTGAGCTACAACCCAGCCCTCAAAGCATAGATTTTAAGTGTTATCACTCATACAAACACACACACATCTCACACACACACACACACACACACACACACACACTATATATATATATATATATATATATATATATATATACACACACACACACACACACACACAGGGAATAAATATGTTAATTAGCTCTATTTAGCCATCCCACCATGTACATACATAGCAAAATATCATGTTATACAACATAGCATATATATACATCATATTTATTTACTTGTCAATTAAAAATAAAATCACTTTTTCTAAATTAAAAAAAAAAGAAATATAGACCTGTTCCAAATGTTTTCTTGGGGTTGTTCATGAGCCCAAGAAAAGATGAGATTCTTCCTTACCCAATTTCCTATTGTATGCACTATGATCATCTTTGCCCAGAGCTCTATATAATCATATTAGCATTAGATTCAAACTATTTTGTGGATTAAATAGGCATATGTTGGTTTGTCTGTGAAACTAACAAATATACATGACTTTATTCCCATGGGAAGTTAAATTTTTACATCATTGATTTTTATGTTTTGAGAGAAGTCTCTAATGTTTGAAAAGCCAACTCTCGCATCAGTTCTACATGCATATGAGAGATGTGGTAAAGCATATGGAAGGAATAAGTAGATCTACAAATTTAAATAATTTTCTGCCTTTGGGAACATGAAAGTAATTCAAGGATTGCCTTTGCAGCACATCTAAAGTTGGTATTTGAACTGATCGTACTTACTAGCTTCTTTAGTGTTCCCAAAGAGAGATAAATAGCTGTGAAACAAAAATAAAATGCCAGCAATTTACAGTCTTAAAATGCTGCAATATGTCTCTCATTTATTAAGTGCCCCAATGGATCCCTTATTAATAAGATAGAATTAATAAAGCCAAGACCTTAGGTTTTTGTGAGCTGGGCTTAAACTCACTAAAGTGATGAAAATCTGCTCTGGGACTGTTTGTGGATTTCTGAACAGTTATAGCAGGAGTCTCAAAAGTATTTGCTGTCAGGAGAGTGTCAATGTAACACAGCTGCTCCTGAAAATACAACTGAAGACGTGTGCCAAATACCTTTAGATCACAACAGGCCTCCTCTCAGTTGTCTCCTTGTGAATTTTCAAGTCCCTTCTACAGCCACCCCAGATAAAGGGCCACCCCAGCACTCCGCTGTCAAGCTCCCCATAGATGGTCCCCAGGGTTGATGTTAGATATATGGAGCAATTTAAAAAGTCTGATACCAGGAAGGGCTAACAAGAATCCCTAACTAAAAGGCTGGCTTTTGCTGTCTCATTCACTGTCCCATCCCTGGTACCTAGATCAGTGCCTGGCATAGAGTGGAGGATAAATAAGTATTTGTTGACTGAATGAATAAAACTGCTTCACAAATCATTGGCTGATGCTGTGAAATTCACAACCRAAAATGTATTCTTTAAAATACAAATCTCTGTAGAAGAAGGAAGGCTTTTGTTAGCCCAGATAAAAAAAAAAAAGGTTGGAATTCACATTTCTCAGTCTAATGAAAGTGATCACTGCTCCATACAAGTTTCTGTGTGTGTGCGTGCACATGAGCGTGTGTCCCTGTCCTCATCTGTGTCCTTCCCTCGCTGCCACTCACTCCCTCGTCACCATCTCTACCCCTGCCATAGGCCACAGCTGTACTCTGTATATGTTTGCTATGTATTTCTGAATACACATGCACCTTGTAAAACATGGAGTATTATTTAGTGTGTATAGGTATTTGATTTTATAGGGATGGTTCTCTTACTCTTTCACTCAGCATTATGGTCTTGCAACTGTCTACGTCACCATGTTCAGCCCCTGTTTCCAACTGGTATTCCAGAGTGTGTATCCACACATTTTATTTACTCATTTCTCCAATGATGGCCCCCTAAATTGCCTCTGGTTTCTCACTAAACAGACATCATAGCACCAAGCAATCTCATCCAAGTCATTTCAATGATTTTTTGTAAAAATATATATTTTTGGAATATTTACCCAAGAGTAGAACCACTGGACTATAAGGATAAGTAATACTAACTATTAACTACTGCCAGACTGCTCTCTACAAAGACTGTACGAATTTATTTTCTCACATAAGTGAATAAAGCTTCTTTTGCCAGACTTACTATTATCCAACTTTGACTCTGCCAACTTTTGGAGGATTATCTCATTGTTTAAATTGACATTTTTCTTCATACACTTTCAGCCACTTGGAGTTTCCCTTTTATAACTTCACTACTTATATTAATTGCCCATTCTTCTAGTRGGCTTTGGACTTTTTTTCTTGTTGATTTGTAAGCGTTCCCCGTATATTTTAGATATCACTCCCTTTTGGATGGCAAGCATAGAAAATTCTTCTCTCTTATTATATTGTATCTATTACCTTTGTCTATTAAGCTTTTGTTGAACAGAAAACTTAATTTGAATGTCATCTAAGACATTATCTTTCATTATATGAAAGACTTCTCTTATACCCTTTGATAGTGTTTCAAAATTTCCTTCCTAGTATTTTTTTGTATTAGTTTTCATTCCTACTTACTTCTTGGATGAAGTAAAGTGTTAACCTGCTACTAGTCTCTCTCACTTTTATCTTGGATAAAGAAAACATTGGGATATTCATCTCCTGACAACATGAAGAACAAATGCTTCTTTTTTCAGTGGACAGGAGGAGCTAGAGCTACCAGCAAAGAACAAAAGCTAAAGATAGAGGTTCCAAACTTAAACTTCACTTGCTCCCCGTTTCTGCTCTTAAGCTGTCCCTGATGGTACTCAGAACAACTACCTAAAACTCCCACCAAGACTTGCCAACCATGGCCTCTTTTCCCTTCTTCCTGAGGTCTAGATCTTCCCAATCAGTATTTGTAACTCATCTTAAAAGGGAGACTCTACTCACAGAAATATGTCACAACATAAATGAGTATATTACCCTCACTAGGAGTACCAAGTACCAGAATCAATTTTAAAGATGGAAAGAAGCCACATTATGCAAATTCCTCACTTCTCTAAACAAACAGAATTTGATATTGCCTTCTTTTTTTATACTTTATTTTTTATTTATTTATTTTTATGTGGTGCTGAGGATCAAACCCAGTGCCTCACACATGTGAGGCAAGCATTCTGCCACTGAGCCACAACCCCATCCCCTGATATTGCCTTCTTAATGTCTGCCCTCTACAGGTATTTCAAAAGTCCAGTCAGGTACAGTGGTACAGGCCACCATGTTTGAGGCCATCCTCAGCAATTTAATGAAGTCCTAAGCAACTTAGCAAGACCCTGTT